ATGCAGTTATAGGGGCTCTCCTGTGTGAATTCTTTGATGTCCAATAAGGTGCGAGTTGTCACTAAATCTTTTTCCACACACAAAGCATTTATAGAGTTTCTCTCCTGTGTGGGTTTTCTGGTGTCTAATAAAGTGCAATCTCGAACTGAAGTTTTTGCCGTGCGTTGTGTGTGTGTTTTTTCTCTCTTGTGTGTGGATTCTCTGCTGGGCTGTGGTTTCCTTGAGGTCTTTGCACCATTCCCCACAAGTAATGGATTTAATTACTTCCTTCCACAATTGGTTTCTCTGCTGTCCCTCTGACCTGCAATGATTCTCACAAGATTATCCGTGGTCAACGCTCCAGGAACCGTTCCATTTAGATCTTCCTGATAACGTCCCACTTGCTTAGGGGTTCCCTACTGGAGATTCTCCTCTTCATTCTCACTCAGCATCTCTTCACCTGCTAGGATACAGAGAGAATTCAGACTAGGGTCATTCCCAGTGCTAGAGTCAAAGGGAAAGAAAGGGGAACAGCAAAGAGAAGAAAGAAAACACAAGAACTGATGGGGTTTTGAGAAAGATAAAAGTTACTTACCTGTCTGCAAGTTTTCCTTCTCTGAAGTGAGCCCCTGGTGCTCAGTGATCCATTACAACTGGGTTACTCCTCTTCATTTTAGGAGCATGGAGATAAAATACAATAATTTTTTCTAGCGTCACAATGTCATGCCAGAAGATGGAGGTGTTCTGTGAACATTTTGTCTCTCTAACTCTCAAGACAAATGCCAAAGTTGAGAAGACGAGCTATCAGTTCTACTCCTGTGGGAATTCTGCGCCTCTGCGGATGTGCAGAATTCATATCCCCTGCAGATTTTTGGCCCCCGACAGAAAATACTTTTCTGCCCAAGAACTGCTGCAGTTTAGCCTTTCGCCCACCAGAGGCCGCTGTGGTGCCAGAACGGCAAGCAGCATGAACGCAGCCGGCTGTTCTGGCGCTACAGCAGCCTCTGGTGGGCAAAAGGCGGAACTGCAGAACTTCTGGGGCAGAATGTATTTTCTGTGGGGGAAAAAAGTTCTGTATTACTATAGTAACTCCTCACTTAATGACGTCCCAGTTAAAGCTGTTTTGTCCCTGACCTATTAGAGAACATACTCATTTAAAGTTGCACAATATTTCCTTATAAAGTTGTTTGGCCGTGGGGGCTTGGAACCAGGGTGGACTGGCAGCCCCTCTATCCACTCCCCTCTAACCCCACAACACCCCCCGCCTCTTGTTGGCCCCACGGATCAGCAACTCCCCCTCCCTCCCTGCGCCTCCCACTCACAGCAATCAGCTGTTTTACCGTTCAGGAGGCTCTGGGGGGAGGAGTGCATCGGGGGAAGGGGTGGAGTGGGGCCAGGCTTGAGGCAGAGCTGGGAGTTGAGCACTCTTCCCCCCCCGGTACTTTGGAAAGTTGACGCCTGTGCAGCCGTGCATGCGCGGTCCAGAGGAGGGAGTGGTGCGCTCCAGAGGGATAGTGTGGGTTCATCATCACATTCAGTTTCCCCAAGGAAGTGTTTACAGCTGCAGCCCTGCGTCTATTGTATCTCTTCCCTTCTGCCTCCCTACATGCTGCCTTGTAGTGTGAGGCTACATTAACAACAATGTGTTAACCCTTGAGGGCTCAGCCGAGTGCTAGTTCATCATTTAGCAGCAAGGCATTCCCTGGGAAATATCCCACCTGATATCAACACGGTTGCTTTAGGAGAAGCTCAGGGAGCTCATGAGCAGGTCCCCACACAAGATTAGAACTTGTTTAAAACTTATACTGTATATGTAATAATGTCTTTTGTCTGGCCAAAAAAAAAATCCCTGGCACCTAACCCCCCACCCCCCATTTACATTAATTCTTAGGGGTAAATTTGATTTGCTTAAAGTCACATTTTCCAAGAACATAACTACAATGTTAAGCGAGGAGTTACTGTATACCTGGTAAGGAATCTACTTGTCAGAGACAATTACCAGAATCTTTTTTTTGGGTCTTTATTGTTACAGACGTACTTGCCGAGAGACATTTTGAAATAAATTATCAAAATAATTGAAACTGGCATGATTATAGGGTGTTATTTGGACAAATAAAATATGCAGAATTTTTCAGAATTGTAAAATAATGAGTGCAGAATTTTTTTTATTTTTTTGGCGCAGAATTCCCCCAGGAGTAAAGTTCTGATGAATAAACTTTACAGAAGATTCGCCATCTCCAGGCAGGATACTTCATCTACTTATTCATCTGGTACACAAAAACGGAAATGAAGGTTTACAGCAAAGCAAGATCCCAAAAGGTGGGAATCCTAAGTTTTCTCCACCTCTCTGTTGGAAGGTTCCATGGGGGAAATAAAGAAGGATTGAGACATTTCCCCTTCAACTGGAATTTAATGTAAAATTTTTGTCGGGTCTCATGGAGCACCAGAGCCCACTTCAGAGAAGGGGAAACGATGGATGGGTGGATAATTTTTACCTTTCTCCTTCTTAGGTACCTGGTGATCAATGATCCATTACGGCAGGGAAGTAGCCAATACTAAAACCAATCTCCACAAACAAGAGGGAAACTTAAAAGATCAAGAAAATTGAACCAACAGGAAAACCATAATAGAGGGCTTGTTTTTTTTCCCTCTTACTTCCCCCAAGATATGACGAAAAACCAAGAGAGAGAGAGCGCAGAACTCTTTGTCCAAATGCATTTCAGACAAACACCACCACATCTCTTCCCAGTGTCAGGAAAGAGAATACATTGAAGACCGGGGATATATGGCAAAATTACCTGAATGAAGCATTGTGCTGTTTTGGAAAGGAAATGACCTAAGCTAGTACTCAGACCCAATCAAGAACCTGTCTAGAAAGAGATCCTATATCCCCCCGGTTGCGAGACAAAATAGGATTCTTGTCCTGTCAAGAGCACCATGAAGATGCAGTTATCTAAATCCCTAGAAAAGCCCAGGTGTGTGGGCAGTTTCTAGATTTGAGCAGGAAGTCCATGCGTTCTCCTGAACATTCATGCTCCAGAAGGGAAAACCTTCCAGGTTTCAGGGCAAACGCTTGAGGTGCCATGGGCCTGGGAGCTTGAGGGACACTTGGAACAGACATTTCCTCCAGCCCAGGAAGATGAAGGATGTTGAACTGCCATATCTAAGAATCTGAGAGACCAGCACTGAAAGTGGTCTGAGAAAGGGTGTGTGTGTGTGGGGTCCATAGTTTTCAACAAAAATGAAAATGATGCCACATCTGCCTGTCCCCTCCACCCCCTCCAACCCTGTATGCGTTCCGCCCCTACCTGTTCTGCCCCATCTCCCACATCAGTTCAGCCCTCCCCCCCCCCAAATCAATTCTGCTGACCCACCTCTGCTTTTCCTACAGCTCCAGAGGTTCTTCACCCTGTGAGGCACTGCACCTCAAAATAGCAACCTGTATCCCCCATAATCACCACTGTCATACAATTGTGATATTTCATACAAAGCATGCCATATATCATATGAAAGGTCATGATCTGCTGAAACCCATTGTTCTGTCCGAATATGTGTATCATTAGTGTGTATAAAGTTATGAGATTGTGCTGTATGGTTGTTACTGAAATATACTGTAAGTTTGCTAGTGACATACAAAGGACCCCCGCCCAGGAGGGTGCCCCACAACCATTAATGATCAGGGGAGTTGTAATCAAGGGATTTACAATTCAATGACAGTTGCCCAAGTCCACACAATGGGGGATTACTTGATCACTGTGACTCAGTTGAGCTCACTGGGACATGTCCGGGGGGAGGGATAGCTCAGTGGTTTGAGCATTGGCCTGCTAAACCCAGGATTGTAAGTTCAATCGTTGAGGGGGCCATTTAGGGATCTGGGGCAAAAATCTGTCTGGGGATTGGTCCTGCTTTGAGCAGGGGGTTGGACTAGATGACCTCCTGAGGTCCTTTCCAACCCTGACATTCTACAATTCTATGAACTGTCTCTCAGGCATATGGATTGATGGCATTATACAAGGATCAGTTGCAGCATGTCTCTGCCTTTCTCCTCCCCTATCTATGCTGGAAGCAACAGGAATGCCAAGAAGACAAAGATCATCTGAGGAAACTGGTCCAGGCTTAAGGAAAAGTCTAACACCCAGTGGAGTAAGAAAACTGATCTAAATACTGCCTAATGTAATAAGGTTTAGATTGTACATTTTTCTTTGGTAACTTTCTCCGATTTTTTATACCTACCACTTCTAATCACTTTAAAAATGGATCTCTCTCTAGTTAAGAAATCTATTTTATACTTTACTTAAAACAGCCTGGTTTGGTTGAGGTGCTGGGGAAATCTCAGCTCGGGTACGAAGGCTGGTGCACGTCCTCTCCACACTGAGGGAAGGGCGGCCTGGGTAATGACCTTACACTGGTCAGGCTTCTGACCGGGGCAGGACGGTGCAGCTCAGGGGTACTATGCTGAGGTGCTGGAAGGAATTGGCTGAAGCCTCTATTTTAGTTCATGAGTGGCTGGGGGAAGCATTCATGTAACTTGGGTGTGTCCCTGCCTGTGGACATCTGTAAGTCTGCAGCTTGTCACAAAATCAGGGACAGGGAGCCCAGCGGTATCCCAGTTCTAGGTTTCACTCCGGGGACCCCGTCACATGCCCCCTCTCCCAGGCCTGGTGCTGCAGGGAAGGAAACGGGATGGGAGCAGCAGAGGAGCAGAAGGGAGGCGAGTCGCCTTATTACAATTTCTGCTCCTGCCTACCTGCTCTTCTACTGTGAGAACAGCTTCAGCACCGGAGAGGAGAAGGAAAGATCTATGCAAGTTTCCTGCAGCCGCCCTGATTGACTGATTCCGCTATACATATGTTTCTGTCTCCCCGATCTCAGTTTCAACTCTGTCTCCCACTGGAGCTAGGGAAGACGGAGCCCACTCCCCCAACACTGAAGCAAGCATGGAAGAACCTGAGCAGATGCTCAACAGGGCACCTCACAGATGTGGCAGTTTCCAATAACCACAGGAAGAAGAAATCCCTTACCCAGCGAGTTCACCGTCTCGTAGTTCTCCTGCATGACGTCCCTGTAGAGGGCTCTCTGAGCGGGGTCCAGGAGAGTCCCCTGCCCCTGGATGAAATACACAGCCACCTCCTCAAAGGTCACCGGCATCTAGAACAACAAGAGTCCCCCACTCAGCACCTGCTGCCCCAGTCACAATCCCACTAGTCATGGGGGAGAAGGCTGATAAAATGGAAGCTCTGGGAGGGCCAGAGAAGCAGAATCCCACCCTCGTCCTGCTCAGAGCAGCCAGGAGGCTTCAGGGTGGGGGAGAGAGCCCCTTGTACTCCCAGCCGATGGAGGAGGGCAGGGGCCTTCCTATTTATCTCAGGCCTACTAGCCAGAGGCTGGTATGGGAGGGCAGAGCCCTTGAGCAGGGTCCAGGGACAGGAATCCCAACCCCCTCCCTATTCCCAGCAGCTGGGTGTGATTATTTTTACATCAATAATCAAAAAATAGAGGACAAGGGGCAAAGTGTGCGGAGATTGGATCTGAGAGTAGAAAAATTAAGGAGAAAGGGGTAGAAAAGGGGTGAAAGTAGCGGTTTTAGATCAATATGCCATTGAGATGAAGTTGAGAACGTCTGAGGACATAGTGTTTTATTTAATATCAGATAATGAGAGAAAAGGGGCAAAATATAAAAGGGGTATTAAATCCATTCTAGATAATTAGGCCCTGTCACCCACATCTGAACACTCCCCCTTCTGGGGAGTGAACCAGAGAAATAATTTCCCTCTAAAACACGAAGCTGGTACAGTCAAAAAAGGGTGGGGAAACGCGCTCAAATCTGAGAAAGGGCTTATATCAATATTTGATAACTACAGGGGGACAAATGGCAAAAAACGGAGAGGCTTTGATATTAATACTCAAAGGAGAGACAAAGGAGAAAATCTAAGGGAACTGTATACAATCATTTGATAACTGGACCAAAAAAAAAGAGGGGGTCAAATCTGCAGGGATTTTATAGAGTAACTGATCATTCAAGAACGAAAAAGGTCAATAGGTGAGAGTTTTTATATGATTATTTCATAATTAAAGAGAGAAAAGGGCAATACATGAGGTGGGCTGTTATGATAATTGGGCCCACAGATTTATGCTAATTGGGATCTCAACTGTAAAAAGTATGTGAAAGTTCATAAAATGTCACCATAACCTATAACAACAAAGGGTGACGGCAAAAAGGTACGAAAGGGAGACAGTGAATTAGTCTACAAAAAAGGCCTCCTGATATAACTCAAGGACTGTGTAGAAATCCTGCTTGGTGAAACCAGAAGACTTGGAACCGGAAATTAACTAAATGAACATTAGGCCTCATTGGTGGAAAAATAATAAGGGGATGGGCTAGTGCACCCATCACTCCCTTTTTGGGTCCTTAAAGAAAGAGGCTTTGAGAGGAAAAGATGGAAGAACAGATAGAGGCTACTGGAGCAATGCTTCACCATCATGACTTTCATCCTCTCCATCTTCTGGGACCCTAGACCTTCTTCGTCCTAATCCTGAGACCGGCCCTAGACCAAACGGCGCCCCAGGCGAGCTGCGTCTTTGGCGCTCTCCACTCCCCATTTGTTAAACTTTATTGCACTTTTAGCCCATTTCACACTCTTGAAGTCTTAAAACACAAGTACACGTTCACAATGACACAATAAAACAAGGTTCACAATATCGCAGCTGGGCTCTCACTTCAGTTTGTTCTTATCTCTCACAGACTGACTGGCGATGCCCTGCCCCTTATCTACCCATGAGGGTGCGGCTGACAACATTCTAGGAGGCTGGAGGAAAATTCTCAGAATGTCTAGAAGGTTCCACAAGATTCTACAAAGGTCCAGAACATTCTAGGCAGTTAGTGAAAAATGAATCCACATATGGAATACCTGAAACATGTTACTTCAAACATTCTATTTTCTCTTTTGTCACTAACAAAAACAGCAACCCCCAAGCCTGGTGTCCCCCAAACCCAGCACCCCATACAGTCACCTGCCCTCAAATCCAGCCCTGCCTGAGACATGTCCTGACCAGCCCACACCAGAGAGGGATCCAGGTGACACTGTCACCCCTACCAGCTCCAAACAGCCTCTCAGATTAAACAGGACTGGATTTTAACAGCAGCAACAACTAACCCAGCCCTTCTCAACTAACTTCTTCTCTTTTACCCAATAATTGGTCTTTTATCATCTTTGTTACTATCTAAGAGACTATCAAACCAGGGGATTTTTCCTTCTAAAAACTGTCCCCAACTAAAGGGAAAGGGAAAGAGGAATCTTGTTAAAATGAAAGCCTTAATTAATACTTTACATGTCAAATGCTTTAACTTTTTTCCTTCTTTTTCTTTATCTTTTATAGTAGAACCTCAGAGTTACAAACACAAGAGTTACAAACTGACCAGTCAACCACACACCTCATTTGGAACCGGAAGTACGCCATCAGGCAGCAGCAGAGACCAAAAAAAACCAACAACCACAGTACAGTACTGTGTTAAACGTAAACTACTAAAAAAATAAAGGGACAGCCGTTTCAAAGCTGTATTAAGTCAATGTTCTGTTGTAAACTTTTGAAACAACCATAACGTTTTGTTCAGAGTTACGAACAATTCAGAGTTACGAACAACCTCAGTTTCCGAGGCGTTTGTAACTGAGGTTCTACTGTATAAAAAGGATAAAATGATTTTTAATGGTGTGTTTGCCAAGGTACTAAACAAGCGGAGGTGTCTGTATTCCAAGCCCCTGATCGTGTTTAACACAATTTAAGGTTAGACAGTGACGGGGTTACGTTAGCACTTTTAACCTATATTTTCCCATGTAAATTAATACAAACAGCCTGTTAGGACAATCCCAGGTATGTAGAGAACCCCCCCCTTTTCTAGGGGTCCTAGAGGCTCCTCATTTCTATCCTGTAGGCCCGGCTTGACATAAGTAACTAGTCTCATTCCTTAGTGGGCATAACTAGGACGGTGAATGGAAGGTTAAGTTGTAAACCCTAGAATATCAGGGTTGGAAGGGACCTCAGGAGGTCATCTAGTCCAACCCCCTGCTCAAAGCAGGACCAATCCCCAATAGGGGCTTGACAAACAGTACGCTGGAGTCAGGATGTCTGTGCTAGCAACATCTTGAGAGAGACTATGGAAAGATAAACCTGGAAGGTAAAGATCAGGTTCCACATGAACACCACATGGACAGAGCACGCTGTACAGGGATTGGCTCCTGCAAAGTAACCAAGCCAATCAAAAAAAATATGCGGTGCAATGTATAGCAAATGCAATGTAACGTTTAAATGTCTATAAAGGAAGAGGCTGACCACCTAAAGTTTGGATGTGTGGTACGCCCTACACCCACCCCCTACACTTGTCACTGTATGCCAGATAAAGGAACCTGAGTCAGGAAATCCAGAATTGAACTGAGTTTTTTGGATCCCAGAGAACTGGAGGAAGTGTCCTCCCAGAACTGGACAAGGTGTTCTGGATAAGCCAAATGGAAAAGGTCTTGGAGTGCATCCCAACACATCTCCACCTGCTCTGTAACAGGAGGCCAATACTAATCCAGCTGCATTCTCCACTTTAGATCCCCCCCATTAGAGAGCAAACTCTTAAAAGCAAGCTTTTAAAGAGATTTTTGTATCAGTATATAACTGAGAAAGACAATGAGGAAAATTTGAAAAGATTCACATAAGTTGGCTAACTAGACTGGAAGAAAGGCATTATCTGTGGGGTTATATATTAATAAATGTTATTTGTTTCTCTAAATAACTGCTATGCAGATAATATATTAACAATCTATAAAGAAAAACTGAACAAAATCTGAGGGGATTTTATATCAAAATCTTGTGACGAAAGGGAAAAGAAATCTGAGGGGTGGAACAACAACAACAACAACAACAGATATTGGGAGGAAAAGGGGCAAAATCAGAGAGGATTACAGTACATTGCTACATTGGAGAATTATAACAAACAGCAAAACTGGAGGGGATTTATATTAATGTTCCTACAAAATCCACATTAAAAGAATGTTATTAAGGTTGCAAAATCCAGCACTCAGAGTTACGCAGGGCCAGAATCAAGGGTGCCCAGGCAATGTTAATTCTGCCCCCTTGTGTGAGTGTCTTATGAAATAATCTCTAATGACAGGATCACACATTGCACTGTTCAATAACACAGGACCTTGCCTCATTCAGTCCTTTAAAACCTGACATTTCTGATGGAACAAACATGTCCCTGAGAGCACATTAAGATTGAGGAAATTTTTGGCAGCTGTAGGATCCCTTTCCATTCATGTTTTAAAGTTCTAAAATCTCATGCTTCAGGGCCAGTCACCTGCAGGGGCCAGGAAGGAATTACCCCCCTACTTATTTTAGGATTTTTTGGGGGTGTTCTTTTCTTTTCCCTCTCCTTCTTTTGAAGCAATGGTTCTCAACCAGGGGTATGTGTACTCCTAGGGGTACGCAGAGGTCTTCCAGGGGGTACATCAACTCATCTAGATATTTGCCTAGTTTTACAATGGGCTACATAAAAAGCACTAGCAAAGTCAGTACAAACTAAAATTTCATAAAGATAATGACTTGTTTATACTGCCCTATATACTATACACTGAAAAGTACAAGATTTATATTCCCATCGATTTATTTTATAATTATATGGTAGAAAGGAAGCAATTTTTCAGTACTAGTAGCTGTGACACTTTTGTATTTTTATGTCTGATTTTGTAAGCAAGTCGTTTTTAAGTGAGGTGAAACCTGGGGGTATGCAAGACAAATCAGTCTCCTGAAAGCGGTACAGTAGTCTGGAAAGGTTGAGAGCCACCACTCTGAAGCATCAGAGAACTGGAGATGGGACATTGGACGGGGTGGGCCAGCCCTCTGAGGTGGTACTGAGAATTCTCTCTCTCACATGCTCCAACTCTAACTGTATTATTCGGGGTCAGGAAGGAATTTCCCCCCCCCCAAGTCAGATTGGCAGGCATCTTAGTTTGTTTTTAACCTTCCTGTGCAGAGCGGGGAACAAGTCACCTCCAGGGTTCGTCTGGATATATCTCAGTCAATTCTCTAAAACAACAAGGGGTCTGGTGGCACGTTAAAGGATAACAGATTTATTTGGGCATAAGCTTTTGTGGGTAAAAAACCCACTTCTTCCAAATAAATCTGTTCATCTTTAAGGTGCCACTAGACTCCTCGTTGTTTT